CGCACACAAACACGCACGTACGCGCACACGCATGCACACACGCACACACGCACATAGCACACACACACACACACACACAAACATGTGCACCCACAAGCACACACACACCACACACACACACACACAAATACAAACACCAACACAAACACACACACGCACGCGCGTGCACACACACGTCTGGATCCCCCAAATCACAATCACCTGCACCGCGATGTGGAACATGCGGCGGCTGCACGACAGCGGCCCGCCCGGGCCCGTCGCAGCGACCGTGTTGGGCGAGCCCCTGACGCACAGCAGCAGCTTCCCCTTGAAGGCGTCCGTCTCCATGTCCACGACGCGCTCATTCAGGGTGATGGGCGCGGCCACGTCTGGATTGTTGTCGATGACCTGAGCAGCCGGGGGGTTGGGGGGTGATGAGGGTCAGCGGGGGTTGCTGGATTTTTGCGGCGGCTGCGTACAGGCAGCAAGCCCGGTGCGGCATGCGGCGTTGTTTTGTTGGTTGGCGTATTTGAGCAAAGGCTTCAGTATGGGTATCCATGGGAAGTGGCACGTGGGCCACAAGGGGGTCGGCCCACAGCCGAACGCGCTTCGCACGGGCTGCATTCAGCGCACGCTTGTGCAGCAAAGCAGCCGCATCTTGTGCTCAAGGCCTCCGTGGCGCTTCTCCTGCTGAAAATGTGGCTGCTGGAAGCTCGTGATACAGCGGCAGTTGCTGGTGCCTCGCTTTGTCAAAAGCAACCGTCCGACTGTCGCCTAGGTGCTTTGGCTAACAGTTGCCGCACGTGGGACCGCCACGTTGTCGCACCTCATGCAACAGCATGTATGCTACCATCTATTTCCCCCGCACCTGTATGCCCTGCAGGCAGGGGTGGCCAGTTGCGATAATTGGGCCCGACTCGGCAAAGACATGGCGGCCCGGCGCTGCGGCGGCGTGGTGCGGGTGGGGCTCCGACAGCTGGCCGGACTTCTGCTCAAGCTCCACTCTGTGCGTGTCGTTTACGATTATATTCACGTCCGCCCCAGCCAGGCAGTCCGTGTGGAGGCCTTGCCGCTGATGAAGCCGCTGGTGCCCGAGCTCGCATACTGCGGCCGGAGACATCTTAACATGTGTATTAGCTGCTTAAATGTTTTTGTGCAACGCGGCCGTCCTCCCAAACGAGCCCGCGCTCGGCACCAAGCCCGTCCGATGCAGCGGGCGTGCTCTGCAAGGGGAAACGGATTTCAGTGCGAAATTTATTCATCCAACTATTCTGAAGATCGTTCTACGGCATGCAAGGGCCGGGCAACTTGCCCCGGCTCAGCCGCAACCACCACGGTGAGGTTTCAAGATCGTCAACGCCGCACGTGACGTACATCGCGTGTCAGAATATTTTTCTATATAAAATCGCTGGCATTCAGCGGCTGCAAAGGCTGCCGCCCCCTCGCCGATGTCCCCGCGCATACAGCGGTACAGTTGTCAACCCCACGACCAAGGTCCCTGGGGGACGGTCCAAGGCCATCAATACGTCTAGGGCCCACAATTCCCCCCCTTGACCCTCCCCAGGTGCTGCTTTTCCAGAATACGTGGCTCGTACACACACCTTGCCGGCGTGCATATGTACTAGAATCAGACAATCAGATTACTCGCAAAGCAGTGTCCCGGCATATGACGTGTGGCAAAGCCACATGCGTGATGCATGCAGACAGCTGGCGACTGGCAAGGCAGCAGCGGCCCTTGGCTAGTCATCATCCTCCATCGCATCCCCGCTGCTACGCCGCCGGCCCCCGTCCTCGCTGTCAGTCCCGCTGTTGCCCCCGCTGCCGCTCCCGTTGTTGCCGCTGCCGTCCCGCCGTGTGCGAGGCTCATCCTCCCGCGCCGCCTCGCCCTCCTCCACCTCTTCCGCTGCCGCATCCAGCTCCCCTCCTACGGTGCAGCAAACAGCAGAAAGATCCAGGGTGGGTCAATAATTCAACGCATGCAGGCTCCAAAAAGCCGCCAGTGCAGCCCGCGCGGTCACAATAACAGTGTGCACAACGTCCCAGGGCGTCCGCACTGCCGATCCCGCCTGACAGCTGCACTGGCCGCGCACCTGCGAACTCCAGACGCACGTCCTGGTCCTCCTCAGCCTCCTCCTCAGCCTCCCCTTCTGAGGGCGCCCCCGCCCCCTCGCCATCCGCACCCCCCTCCGCCCCGTCCGCGCCGCCGCCGCCCCCGCCACCCGCC